TTCCACAGCTGTGCCACCCTGGGTGCAGAGCTGGAGCCAAGAGGCAGAGCAGTAGGTACAGAGAGTCCCAGGGGTTCGGGTCTCCAGGAGGAGGAGGTCCTACCAGGGTCTTACACCCTGGTAGGACCATTCTCAGGAATGCCAAAAAAGGTGACTGGTGACTGTGGAGAGGGAGGAGGAGACAGATAAATGTAGGTCAGAAAGTGTTTATCTCCTTCCTACCTGAAGTCCCTGCGTCAGCAGTGACCTTCTTCTCTCTCCCTCCACCCTCCCTGAAGCAGTTTCCTCTTGGCTCAGGCCTGGCTGGAAGGAGGGAAGGAGGGAGGAGTGGAGGGGAGGGGAGAAGGAGGAAGGGAGGATAAAGAGGTAGAGGACCAATCAACTTCATTCTCCCTCCCCCCTCCCTTTTTAAAAAGATTTTTTAAAATTTATTTATGCCTACAAGAATTGGGGTAGAGGCCAGAGGTGTGGGGGTAGGTGTAGAGAATTCACCAGAGACAGAGTGGGGAGCAGAGCAGGCAGGTCAACGAAGTACACTGCTGAGGGGAGCAGCAGGCCAGACAGGAGAGTTCTACTGAGCCATGTGGGTCACCTCCTGAGCTGGGGATCAAACTCTTGCTGCAGAGCTGAAATTTTAACCCCTGTGCCACCAAGGAGGCCCTCTCCCTTCCTTCTCATTTGCCAATGCACCAGGTCCTAACCTGCTGAATTCTGCAGAAATCTCAGCATGTGCAGCACACACAGAACACACACATTCCTCTATATAGAAGGCTCCCCTTCTTCCCTTTCCTGCCTCCCCTGTCTAGGTCCCCAGGGAGAAATCTTAGGCCAGGGAAATCTTACTCCAGATATCCACCAGGTGGTAGCATAGACTAAACCAAACAAGCACACAGCCCAGCAAGGAACTTTCCAACAACCTGTCAAGCCATTTCTTTCTCCCAGCAATTCCCTGGAGGGTTAAAAAACTAGTGTTAACCAATGTGACCTTGAGCTTTATTCTTAAGATAAAGACTACAAATAGGATTCCAATCCAAAGAGTCTGACTCTGGAATCTAAGTTCTAATTCACCTCACTAACCTATCCTTAACGCTGAAAGGGGTCTCTTCTAGCTCCCCAGTCTTTTCAGCCTGTGAACTCACCCACAGCTCTCTCCCTGGGACTGTACTTCTAGTTTAAGGCCCAAATCCTTCCAGAACAACCCTCGGTGAGCAACCGGGTATGATACAGCTAACAAAATTGATGTCGCTACTTTTGCAAATAGCTAGAAAGTTAGCTGTCATCTAACCTTTGTTCATGCACTCCTGGAGAAACACTCAGAGCCTGCCAAGTGTCAGGCACTGGATGCAACAATAATCAAACTAGACATGGGATCAGACAACAAATAAATTATGAAATGTAAAAAATGTTATGATAATGCTATAGAGAAAAATAAAGCAGGAAAGGAGAGCTGGATAAAGGAGCTGGATAAAGAAGGGAAGATTATAGGGCAGAAAGAGAGTTGGAGGGATGAAAACCTTTTTTTTTAACCATGGCACTTTGAACCAATTCCAGTACTTTACCTGTCATCCCAGTTTACAACCCCAGCCACACAGGTGAGAAGGCATTGTTACTTCAATTTTAGGAGGAGCAAGATCAGGGAGGTTAAGTAAACTAGACTGGGATCAGCCCTGGCTGCTGAGAAGGGCTGGGACCCCATTCCACCCCAGTGCTCAGGCCTGCGGATTCCAGTCCACTGCAGTTAGGATCATTCCTTCAGCATGCACAGCTGCGAACTGAGCTCCTGTGATGAGGGCCACAGATGCCCCAACTGGAGGAACTTCCCAGTTAACTAAAGCCCCAGAAACAAGTTGGGTGACAAGTCAGGTCCTAAGAATCCCTCCTGTGTGTGACCTGGGTCAGTCATTGTCTTCTTTTTACTGATGTGCTGATGTGGTCCTTGAGAACTGATAAACAGCAGGCCCCATTCTTTTTTTTCTTTTTCTTCTAGACCCTCAACATGTAATCCCATTGTCTCTTTGTTCCTGCTAACTTCTTTTTCTTTCCTACATCATTGTTCACTTCTATACAGTATTTAATTTTTCCCCTCTGGTGGAATCCCGCACCTCTCCCACCACCTGGCCCCCACACACTGTCACCAAAGTCCCTGTTTGGACCCCTCTCCCACCCTCCCCTGCTGCGTTCCTCAGGTCTCCGGTCAGCTTGCAAGAGTTGTCTTTTTCCTGACCCTTTGTTTAGTTTCTCTATATTCCACATACAAGTGAAACCATCGAATATTTCTCTTTTTCCTTCAGACTTATTTTGTTTAGTGTAATCCCTTCCCGCTCCATCCATGTTGCTACAGCTGGCATGAGTGTGTCTTTCTAGATTGCTGAGTAGTACTCTATTATGCATATATACAACAACTTTTTCAACCACTTGACTGGGGACATTCGGGTTGTTTCCATAGCTCAGCTATTGTATATAGTGCTGCAATAAGCATAAGGATGCAGGTGTCCTTTTGAATTCATGTTTTTGTGTCCTTTGGTTCTACATAGAACCCTAAGAGTGGAACTGCTGGGTCATAAAGTAGCGCCACTTCCAGTGCTATGAGGGGCCTTCACATAGCTCTCCATAGGGCCGGGCCAGCGTGCCACCCACCAGCAGTGTAAGAGCTCCTTTATGTACACATTCTCACCGGCGTTTGTTATTTCCAGTGGTGGTTTGATTTGGTTTGGTTTTTTAATATGTGTCTGGCCACATTCTTATTCAAGTTTTTTGGCTCCAAAAATCAGGCACCTGCTTTTGACCCTCTTCGATGCCTAAGAGACTCCCAAGAAATGTTAGTAGGGAGATAAGTGGCAAAGCAGAGTCACCAGGGCCTGGAGTGGGGTCCACCATCACTGGTCTCTCCACCCACAGTGGCCTTTATGACAGGAAGGGGGAGGGATGGAGGCCACGGAGCCTATAGAACCAGCTTGTCCTTTATTTAGTGGTTGAGGGAGAAGGGGGTACAGCCCCCTCCCTGAGTCACTCAAGGAGGTCCAGGTCTCCCCAGGCAAGGAGCCTCTAGGACACAAAGAAAGCAGTCCCTAAGCACAGGTCAGACGCCCCAAGGGGAGAGAGCCCTCCCAGAATGAGGCTGCCCAGCCCCTACATATTTTCCCCCCAGGCCCTCCCTGGAAGGGCAGCCTTGCACGGAGCTTTAAGTGGTTTCTGTGGCTTAGGGGGTGGGGAGGAAGGGAAAGAGAAGCTGTGACTAGTCTCCAGTTCCAAGCCACCACCACCCCTCCACCCACTCCAGGCTGCTTGCCCTCTGCTTTGAGATTCCAGGGCCTGATAAGGGAACTTGGGCACCTGGGGGGTGAAATGATTCTCTGATCCCTATCAAGCTCTTCCTTACATAAGAAACAAGAATGTATTTGTGAAGGAAATACGTATTGCCCTGTTTTGAGGAGATTGATTCCTCCAGAAAGAGAGCTGTGATTAGAGCAAGAGCGGGGAAGGCCAGACTTCGATGTGAGGGGCATTTCTTGGAAGGATGACCAAGGTACCTCTTACCTTCCAGAGAAGAGCCCCACCTCCCCTGCAGAGGGCTTTGCTTCTTACTCCAAGCCTACCCAAACTGTGTGACATCCTGCTCTGTGCAGGGAAGTGTACAGAGATGCCTGGGCCATATGTTTACCAGAAGGACACGGGGCTGATCCCAGCCTCAGCGGCACACACACTCTCAGAGTCTCAGCATGAGGTTTCCAAAGCTTCCACGCCACACTTCCCTGTTCTCACTCCCCTGCCAGCCACCAGGGGCACTGGGAAGTCCTTCTCCAACCCTAACCTTTGTCCCTTAAGCTGCAGACAAGGGAGAGCGGGAGCTACCCAGGAATGCAGGTGCTGACACAGCAGAATGTGGGGCTCTGCCAGGCTGGAACAGGATAGCAAGACAGGAGGGCAGGAGAGGGGAGGGACAGGGCTGCCCGCCCTCTCCACACCGGTTGCCATGTGCACCAGGTAGGGGGAGTGGGCGAGTCCCACGAGTCACGCGGCAGTAGCGTGGCTGGTGCCCATGCTGCTGTTTACCAGCTGGGAGCCAGAGCAGGAGGAGGTGCCAGGGAGCCTCCCCACTGCAGCCTGGCCCCTCGCCAGCCGGCCTCTTGGGCAACCAGGGGAGCCAGGCCCAGCTAATCAAACTCTGGGCTGAGCCTGTGCAAGAGGCTGCGAGGCCGCCCCCAGAAGCCCTTCTTCAGTGGTCCCCTTTGGGGGGGCTCTCCATCCTCCAGTGAGCACAGTCTAGTTAGAGCTTCTTCTGCCCTTCTCCCCTCCTGTCCCACTGTTCTTCTGCCTCCACACACTTCTCTGGGCCTATCCCGACCCACAATAGAATAGGAGATGTGGAGGCACAAAGTAGGGAGTCCTAGAGGGACCTGGGGAGCTCTAAGAAAAGACAGCGAGGGGCAGGGCAGGCACTAAGCGGCAGAGGTCTCAAGGGGCCAAGGAATCCTTGGGATGATGAAGAACCCCATCTTGATGAAGAGCAGATTCCCCCCCCCCCCAAATGTGTGCTCCCACTGCACCCACACTCCCCATGTTTCCCCTCTCACTCTCCTCTGCCCATCACCTCCCTTGGTCAGGGAGAAAGGAAAGAATCCTGAAGTCACAAAGACCTGGGTTCAAATCCCAGTTCGACCACTTACTGTCCCTCTGCAAATCTTCGGGCAAGTAGTTCATGTGTTTGAGTGTCACTTGGCCTGGGGGTAAATCTAGAGTGATTGTGTTTGCCTCCTGGTGAATGCTGGAGGACAAACACCCTCATGGATTTGCCTAAAGTGCCTGGCAAGGGGTCCAGACAGAATAGGCGGTCAATAATTGCTGGTGGCCTTCCCTCCGCCTATCTCATCTCCTCAAACCTCCCAAGCTCTGTCTCTCCCTTCCAGTGCCAGGAAGCTCTGCCAGCCACTCCTTTCCCCTGCCTCTATGACCAGGTGCTCCCTCCCTCCCTCCACCTCCTCCCTTCCCAGGGCCCTGCTCCCTGCCCTCCTGGGCAGCCGGGGCAGGAAGGACGGCACCAAGGGAGCTGCCCATGGACAGGGCCCCACAGAGACACCACCAAGCCTCGCAGGGTAAGAGGCCCTTGGCCCTGCAGGCAGGTAGAAGGGGCTGCTAGCGACCAGAGGAGAGATGGCAATGAATGGGGCAAGAAGAGAGGACTACGGAGGAGGGAGAGACGGGCTGGCAGGGGGGATGCAGGTCATTACTGGGAAGACTGGACAGCCTTCAGACTCTGAGGAGAAGCAGGACGAGGGGCTGGGGGCCTACGGAGGAGGAGAAATCACAAAAGAAATGCATCGAGGGGAGAGAAAGGGAGAAGAAAAAGAAGAAGGAACAGGTGGGGTTCCACGGTAGCAAGAAAAGTGAAGTCAGGGAACCGTAGGTGAAGGCCTCACAGTGCACAAGGCCCGCCGAGTGTGACTGGCCTGGGAGGAGGTGGGTCACTCTTCGGACTCTGAAGCGTCTCAGCTGACTGGGCCCCCAGGCTGCAGTGGCAGGAGAGAAGCCACCCACCTCTATTCATTCATTGATGCAGAAACCTGTCCTGCCTCGAGGTTGGCAGCCCAGGGGAGAAGCAGCCACAGCCGCCAGGTGCCCATGTCCACTAAACTGGCGCTTCCCTCCCCACTGGCCCAGAGGAATGGGGGCTTCACTGCCACAGAGAATGTGGGGCACTCCCCTCCTGGCCACAAGACAGGCAGCAAAGACACTGAGAGACCCTTTCAGAGCTGGTTCCTCCCGCATGCTCCTCGGTCAGCTGGGAGCCCTCAGGGGAAACCCATGAGTCCCAGTTGCCAAGTCCAGGGCCACCTGACTGAGGGAGGGGAGCAGGCCCAGGACTGCTCAGCAGTACAGGCCTGGAGGGTGCCTGGGCAGGGAGGGAGCTGGGTGGGGCCAGGCACCGTGGGTGGGAGGCGGGAGGGGCCGGATGGAGCCACTCCCTCTCTGGGCATCCTCCTCACCCCTCCAAGCCCAGGCCTGTTGGGTCCTCTCATCCAAACTAGCTCAGTGGAGGAGGCCTGCTCACGGGGAGCATCTTCTGAGGACAATCTGGGAGTAGTGGGTGGGGAGGAGTTTCCAGGATTCGACAGTAAAAGGAGAAAATAGCAGGAGAGCAGATTCAGAGGCAGCCCAGATTCTGCAGGGCTGCAGGGCTTTCTGGCACACGTGCCCTGTGTGAGGCTGCCATGAGGAGGGAGGCCTGTCTAGCAGGGGAAGCCTTTCTCTGCGGCTCCCTCGGTCAGTGTTTCATAAGTGCAAACCATATGAACCAACAACCCCTCGGTGGTGTTCTAAAGGAGGCTTCCCTTCAGTGGGTTTCCCCTGCACACCAAGCATCCCATCCCGGCTGGCCGGTATCAACCTGCCTGTGCTTCCTCCTGCCTGCTCTCCACTGGGACTGGCCCACTGCGCAGGCTGGCAGGCCAGTGGAGCCAAGGCCCAGGGAAGACAGAGGCATGGGCACTGGCAGCTCTCACCTCCTCTTTCTCCAAACCCCCTCACCACCCTACTGTCAACACCCACACCTCAGGACTTCCCTGTGAAGTCAGACACAAATGAGCGACCCGAGATGTAACTCCCATGTAACTCCCACGGAGACTTAGCTCTGGCTGCAGCATCTTTGTGTGTGCATCTGATGGGCCTGGCACTGGGGGAGTCTGTGGGGTTGAAGGGTGAGTGAGACAGACACAGCGTCTGCCTCCATGGGAGTCACCGTCTGGCAGGAAAGCCCCGATTCATGGACAGTGACGCTGCGGCAGCGCTGAGGTGACGTGGTGAGTGCCAGGAAACCAGACACACTCTGCTGAGTGTGCAAACATAGCATGAGGGCTGGGAAGAGAGGCGTGGTGGACAGCATCTCCAAAGGAGAGAGACACCTGAACTTGAGGGGTGAGACAAGCTAGCTTAAGGCAGGGGGTGGGGGCACTCCAGCAGAGGAATGGCCAGAGAGGACCAGTGTGGCTACAGGGCGGAGAATGAAGGCGAGGGGGCAGCTGTGGTGTGGAGGGGGCAGCCTCCCCCGGGCCAGGCTCTGCTGGGAGGCGTGGGCGGGCCACGCCTGAGCCCTGGGTGCCCTGGGCTTCAGCGCTTGACCCTGACTCCTGTCTTTTCAGAGTTGCTGGCGGCAAAGAAGACCCACACCTGTGAGTAGAGGGCCCAAGGGCAAGAAGGGGCTGGGTGTGAGAGATGGCCAGGAATTCGGCAAGGGCTTTGGGCTCTCGGGTAAAAGAAAGGTGAGTGGGTTGTAGATATGGAGAAGGCTGAGCTGAAGAGGTGGAGCCTAGAGAAAAACAGGGGGAAACAAAGAGGTGAGATGAGAGGAGGGGTGGGGGAAGAAGGCTTAGATCAGGGCCGTGGAAGGGAGTGAGGAAGAAACTCAAAAGTGAGAGGTAAGATGGTAAGGGAACAAGGAAAGGCTCATTCAGGGGAACTGAGGGAGAGGAGGGGGAAGAGGAAGGTGGAGGGAGCTGGCAGATGGCTGGACAGAGGAGGGAGATGGTGCGCAGCCAGGCTTCAGGGACCCTGCACCAAGCTTTGTGGTTGTGACACCAGGTTTGGTGTTCATCTCTGTGGTTAACACATCCTGAGGTGTGAACAGGCCTGGGGCCAGGCGGGGCAGGGCTGAGAGCAGGAAAGCCTTCCTCTGCCTAGGGAACACAGTGGACAGGGACACTGTCCTGAGGTGGAAAGGCTGACGCTACAGCATGTGAGGAGGGGGCCAGAGCTCAGGAAGGACTTCCCAGTGGATACAGTGAGTACCACCCTCAGGCACCTCTCAGCAATCAGAGCTACCCTTCTCATTTGTGGGAGAGGCTCCCCCACCCCCACTGAAAGTGTGCTCCCCACCTCAGTTCCAAAGCTCATATCCCATCAGGCTCATACACACCCTTAACAGCCTGAGGGCATTCCCTTAAGTCTGGGCTCCTGAAGTGATGAGCAACACAGGGCAGGAGAAACCACTTGCATTTTCCCTAATCAGCTCTTGGGTTGCCTGCCAGTTCCCCCAGAGAGCTCACTGCCACCCCTCCTGCTGCCAAGTTTGCCTTGTTCCAAGCACATTCATCTCAGAGGACAACGGGATCACCCTCCTCCCTGAGGGTGGGCAAGGGCCAGGGGGCCATCTAGGATGCTACATCCTGGTGGTGGTGGTGGGGGGGGTTGCTTTGCTCAGCACAATCCTGACAGGTGCCTCGCCTGCCCCTAGCCACAGGGCCCCACGGAAATGCTGAGCAGGGCCCTGGGAGGAAAGCGGGTCAGGGAGTGACGAGGGCGAGCTGGGGGAGGGGTACCCAGGGACCATATGTGGGTGCAGGGAGAAGGGGTACTTTGAGAGCAGCTGAGATACCCCACAGAACTGTTATGAAGCTGAGAAGTCCTCTGAAATGAATTGACCCTTGGGAAGGATCCCCAATCAAGAAGCTACACCCCAAAAACATCCCAGCTCCAGGGCAGACTCAAGTGGAATCTAGGCTCTAAGTTTGAGTCTGGACTCTACCACCTATAGGCTGTGTGACCTTGAGCAAATTACTTAACCTCTCTGTATCTCACTTTCCTCATCTCTGAAATGGGAATAATGGCACCTACCTCATTAAGTATTTTTGTCAGGATTAGATAATACACAGACACACAAAAATTAAGAATCGGTTCTGGTATATACTCAAGTATTATTACTATCATCATCATCATCTGCATTCCAATTTCGGCAGTTGTGCTCCTGAGGACACGTCTAATGGACTAACCCCTGGGCATCTGTCTGATGGTCATGACTACTACTCTTACCATTGACCCACTAGCTCAGGGCACACATTCTATCTGCGGGGGTGTGAGCATGGTGGGTGTAAGCAGACCCCCGCCCCAAGAGCACTGGACTGTTGGCAGCCCTCGGGGTCTCAGATGGCACATGCCACCGGCTGGGGCAGACAACTGATGACTTACCTCTAGAATATCCCTGTCCCTGGAGTCACCTGGCACAGAGGGTCAGGCTCTGGGGATCTTCGTGGTGTGAGGGGAGAGCAGGAACTAGCCCCCCGGCTGCTGTGAGCTCCATTAGGGCTCCCCAACCAGAACTGCCCCGGAGGGTGGAAACAGCTTCCACCACGTGTGGCTGTCGCATGTGGTTTTGGAATTTTCCAACGCCCCCTGTGATTGGCTGCCCCACCCCTCACACTCTGCCCCAGGCCCAGATTGGCCACATGGGGCGCCTGTCATCCTACCGGCTGCACCCCAGGGGGTGAGGGTGGTGGAGTTGGGGGGTTGTCACTTGGCCACCTGTGTAGTGTGGAGCTAACCCCCCTTCCCCTGCCCAGAAGCACTGGGGGAGAGCTAGGTGCAGAACTGCAGCCTGAGGCTTTGCTGAGAGGGCCTCACCCCCCAAACCCGCTGCCAGCTGCACCCCATCCCTGGACCACTCCCCGCCGAGAAGGACAGGGAGACAAGGCGGCCAAGCCCAGCCCAGTCATGAGAAGTAAGTGAATGGGGCCACCTGGGAGCAGGGGAACCTGACCCTGCCGCCGTCATCCCCCCCCTGGGCCCCTTGGGAAGAAGCTGGATCTTGGGAGCAGTGTGAGCAGAGCGGAGAGCTCTTCCCTGGCTGGGTATGTCAGGTCCAGACCCAGGTGTGTTGGGAGACGGTAGTGGAGTAGTGGGGTCCCTCTCCCCAGGCTGTTCTCTTAGAGTAGTGACAGCGCACAGAGAGAGGAGGAACTGTGATGAGCTCTGGAACGGCTCTGCAGGCGTCTGTGATATGCCCAGGCCCCCCCATTTTACAGAAAGGGACTGAGATTCGGCGTAGCTGGATGGAAGCCAGCAACTGAGAGGTAGCCGGACCTCGGCCTCCCAGCATGGCGCTCACCCCAGCGTTTCTCTCCTGCCTCCGACCTGCAGAGAGTGGGGTGGAAAAGGAAGCCAGAGGCCTTGAAGCGAGCGAAGCCAGCAGGCAGAGGGGTCAGAACTCAAGCATCCAGCAATCCGATCCACCAGCCTTTCTGCCCAGTCCAGGGATGTGAGGACTGAGTGGAATCCAACTAGATGCAGCGGGGTGCCATTTCTACATGTGTGTGTTCCAGGCTGACTCACCCATTTTATGAAGGGAATCGAGGCAGAGGAGATGGAGCACAAAGCCTTTGGCTTCACTTCTCTCTAGCTGGCAGCCATGGACCCACAACTGGTGGGCTGAAGTCTGGTGCTCCTGTCCCTTCTTGCAGAGCAAAGGAGGGAAACTGGGCCCCAGAGAACCTCTTAGAACACAGGCTGTGGCCCAAGGCCTGCAGCAACCCCAGCCCCAGCCTGCTACCTTCTCACAAGTTACCAAGGGGAGGCCATACTGAGTCCTGGGAAGACCCGCAGCTGAGAGCCTGAAGAATTGGTTCTGGTGTCACTCATGAGCTGTGTAAGCTTGACCGACTCATTGGTCTCCTTGTTGCAAAGCAAGAGCTGAATTTAAAAACAAAACCCCCTTTGGGAAGGCTCCCTGTTCTAGGGGTCCAGGGCCAAAGAGAGAGCTCTGGACCCTGGCTGGACACCCCAAGGTATGAAGGAGACTCTGCTCTCCTAGACTCTGAACAGAGAGGAGGCCAAGGAAAGGAAAGCACTCACTTCTGTACTTGTGGTGGAGAATCCAGAGCTAATGTGTGAGCCCAGCTGGGTGAGAGGGGCCTGGAGAAGGGTCAAAAGCTCCCCAGGGAAGAAGGGACCCTTAGAATTTCAGCGTCCTTTGTATTTTTTTCTCATTAGCAGTAAAGCTTAGCATACTAGGTTTTCTAGAAATGGTCCCAAATCAGCAAATCTACCCTGGAAAGCCATGTCTGGGTGTGCTTCAGTGCCTTGCAAGAAAGCAGGCGCCTCAGAGTTGGCCAAAGGACTCAGAGGCCCGCCTAAGTGAAGAGGGCATCTGACGCCATCAGTGCTTCTCTCTTAGATATCTTTGGGGGCTCACAGCCTCGGGTTATCTGACCTACCTCCACCTCCGCCATCCGTGAATACGGACCGCCACCAAGCTCTCTGTTCTAGGCTGGGGATTCGGGACTGTGACACACCCAAGACCGAGAGCCAGATACACCTGGAGCAAAAACAGACCAAGAAATAGTGAGAAAGGGCAGGAGATCTATAAACATGTGTAGAGAAAGTGGTGTCCCCTTGGACATGGAATTGGGAGCCAAACACTATAGTGTAAAGTCCCAGAGACAGAACCGAGGTACAGAGACTGGAAAGGGACAGGTGAGGAGGAAAGAAGACTGGCAGCAGAAGGGGACGTCAGGAGTCACTGTGGGGTCTGGGAAGGCAGAGAGCAGGGCTCACGGTTTGTGGGGCTCCCTACCAAGGCCGGCAAGTAAGAGGCATCCATTAGCTAAAAAGCCCGTCCAGCCAGGCAAAGTCATCTCAGGCCGAGAGCATGGCCAGTGTGGACCCGGGGGGCATAAGGACTGGCACCTTGTCTGGTGGGGAGGTGGGAGGGTGACGGTATGAGGTGGGGTGATGCTGTTTGCTGTGGTCTGATCTTTCTCAAGTCTGGCGATGATACGAGGCGCAGTGGGCCAGAAAGGAGCTCAAGTCTTTGGGGTGCCACAGATCTCCGTCCGCGAGTCCATAGGCCACCTAAGGAAAGTACAAGGGGCTCCTTCCTTCCTGGCTCCTCACCTTACCTTCCTCTTTGCCTCTCTTCCCATTCCAAACAGGGACCCCAAACACCCCAACATAAGGTCCGGGGAGCTGGAGCCTCCCAGTCTGTCCCTTCAGAGTGAAACGAGCATGTTGGTGTTCCCAGCCCTCGCAGGTCGAACCCCCCTCTCCTGTCTCTGTGACCCTGACTCAAGCAGAAAGGGGCTTTCCTAGGCTCAGCGCTTTCAGAGGAAGGCGGTCTTAGGGTCTCCAGTCCTCAAGAGGCCAATCGGCCCACCCGCTCAGCTCAGAGTTCTAATTTCCACACGCCCTGCTCAGGCTCTGCCATCCCTTCCCCGGGGCTCTGAGCTCAGAAAAGATGGCCATGTCCATCTGGGGGGACGAACAGCAGCAGGGCCAGAGCAGGAGCCTTTCTTGGCCAGCTGAGGCTCTATGGGAAAGAGAGACAGCCCTGGAGGCAGGGAGCCCCCCCTTGATTGTTGGGGTTCCTGCTCCTCAGAGCTTCCTCCTGGTGATTCATCCCCTC